TTTGCTAATATCACAGAATTTCCCAATTAGAAACCTTCAAAAGGAAGTTTCAGTATAATTTTTCTTTAATTTCCTTTTGATATGCAGATGCGAAACGCAACGATTCGAAGGAAATAAAGAGCATTTACAAAAAAAAAACTAAACTGTATACGAAATGCATGCATTTGCGTTCGCCTTTACTCGTTTCGGAGGGATAATAATCGCAGATCCATGCAAATTCGCTTCCGCAATGGAACTTCTCCTTTTGTCTCATTCAGCAAACTGCATCCAAACTCTTCCTCGTTTGCAGCAAACATCGTTCTCAAATAGACGACGTTGACGATGAATTCGTCTCGCTAATCCTTGGCTCAACTGAAACACGTAATTAAAATACAATGTTTTCCACGCGATTTCCGACGCTCCCAAATTCCATCTAATCTTTCATTCCGAACAAGAAAAGACTAAATTCGTTTCTTCGGATTAAAGACATTTTATCCACCAACAACAACAACAACAAAAAAACACAGTGCTGCGGTTACGTAATTGGATCATTTGACTTCGAGAATCCAATTAACTTTTGCTCTTAAACATTTGTAAAGGAGTATAGGAATGATGACAGAAGTTCAGAGCGAAACGGTTTAATAGAAAGAAAAGCAATAACGCGGTGAAACGAAGGTTTCTTTAAAGTAAATAAATCGGAATCAATGAAAGAACACCAAATATTATCTTTACGTTTTTGCGGGTGCTCAAGAAATAGTCGAAGAGTTCAGTTGATATCTAAAAATACATTCTTGGGGGCATCGTTGCCTCACATTGATGTTATTTTTTTTTCAAAATTCATCAAAATTAATAAAAAATTCATCAAAATTCATCAAAATCAAAGTTCATCAAAATTCATCAAAATTCTTCAAAATTCTTCAAAATTCATCAAAATTCATCAAAGTTCACCAAATTTCATCAAAATTAACAAAAAAAACATCAAAGTTCATCAAAATTCATCAAAATTCATTAAAATTCATCAAAATTAATAAAAAAATCATCAAAATTCAATAAAAACGTTCAATAATTTGTAATAATGAAAGGTGCCCCAATTTTTCCAAATGAAACAATACATTTTGAAATGTTCACTTTGAATATGTACGTTTTTAGCATTGAAATTTCCATATTGAGTAAACCAAGTTCATGACTGCATGGCTAATTAGACTGTGAATAATGCAGACGTATTGCAATTAATCGATTTGTACGAATTAAATTGTGCAGAAGGGTTACGGCTGCAGCGACGACTGAATTGAATTTCCATATGCACCCTACATAGATAAGAGTCCTTCGACAGTTGGACAAGTTTTCGATCGATTTCTATTAGGAAAATCGTCGTCGATCCAACTGAAACATACAAATAAGACTTTCATTTTCTTTTTCCTCGTCTTCAAACAGTTTTTGCTTTCTTTTTTCGTTACACTTCGAGACTTCCGTTTTCCCTTGGAACGTCACATGAAAAGGCGAGCGGACACCTCATCCATCCATTCACCTTGACACTCTCAACGTTCATACACAAACATCGCTCCGTGGAAAAAAGCAATTATGGCGAGCAAATGTTAAATGAAACACCCAACTCAAATATAAAAACGCTCCGTTTTTTTCTTTATATAGATCACCCACCCAAAACACACGAAACCCATCGATTTACACAGAAACTTAGTTTACATTTCGCTTTGATCTATAAACCAAATAAAACACGTCTTATCGATGATTATTGAAAAGAAATTAAATCAGTGAAATGTAGGGAAATTATTAGAGTTATTACAATATTTCAAAAAAGGTGACCAACGTGGGGCACGATCAAAGTTTCTTAATACAAGTATTCCAGTTCAAATTCTGCACAGAAACTACTCAAAATCAGTTATTTCCTTGATTTTTACTAATAAATTTCTTAATTTAAAAAAAAAACATCTAACTTTCTTAATACTCATAGTTTATTGCAATTATTTAGCAGAGTCAACTAGGTATAAGTAAATATTAATAAATTTTACTTTTCTGATGTAATAAAGAACGATTAAAGAGTAAAAATTGTTTAAAATTTCTTATTCTGAATATGTTTTTTTTTTTGGTTGTGATAAATCAGTTAATAGATACTTAGCATGCATGATGCATAAGGTTGCCACCTTGACTTTTCCGTTCGGTTTAAATTTAGACGGTTTTTCCTAGGAAAAAGCATTTGCAGCCACGTTACGAGCGGAAACACGTGGTGCGCAATTAAAGACTTCATTTTTATTTATATTTACACCTTTGGTATATCGCACGGGGATGGTAATAATCGTAAAAAACTGCTATTGGAAAGCGGCCAACGGAAGAAAGAGTTAAACTGAAGTTATTCGGTTCTGCTCATTAGGAAAGGTCAGAATTCTGTATAAAAAAACCTGCTGGTTTTTAACTATAAAGATTTTATTCATCGGACCTAATGATACATCAAATTGGCGGACCTTTACACGAAGTGTACATACCTTAACCGAGCGCGGTCCGATATACTCACACTAATTGCGTTTCCATCGATCCGAGTTGGCCTTTCCTCAGTCTGAAGGAGAAAGTAACAAAAGAATGAAACCTCCCTTAGGATCGTAGCGAGTTCGTGAAGTAAGGAAGGAAAGGAAGGAAGGAGGTATAATTTACATTGCATCGATTCATCCTGGGCTTTGGCAATTAATGCCCGTCCTCGGCTCGGGGAATTCCCGAAACTCCAGTTTCTCAAACTAACTCTATCAATATCACTCCCGCAACGATTGATATTCGCGCCGCAAAATCCAAGGTTTAATTAAAAAACAGAAAAAACAACGAAACTTGTAATTAAGTCCGGTTTATCTACTGTTCACTTCATTTTCGAGTTGCTAATAAAAAAAGAAAAATCAATGAATGATTTTTTTTTTTTTTGCAGAAATCGGAACGTATTCCAATTTCCTAGGTAAAATGCAATCGCAATTTCCCACTCGAGGTGGGAAAAACGTATTCAGTGGGACATCGGAAACCGGACTTGAGAGAAAGAAACAAACAAAAAAAAAAACGTGTAAAAGGAAGAGAAAATAAGTGAAGGCAAAAAAAAATAAAAGGAGAATGAGAGTGAATATAAGTGGAACACGAAAATATAGAAGCTAAGAAATCCGTTGCTAAGCTGCGAAGTGAATGAAAAGGCTTTTGTTTCACGGCCTTCCCTTATTCAATCCGACGTTTTTTTTTTCGCGAGAATTCCTAGAATCCTGATTTTCACGTTTCGATAATCGTGAACAAAAAATGAAAATTTTCTGAAAAATAAAGGATAAAGTATTTGTCGCCCCACGTTTGGCGCCAGATTTTAGAAGACATTTGACGTAGGAAATTATCTCTCGATTCTAAACTTTGTCTATAAATAATGTTTATTGTTTAGAATCAATGAATTAGTATTTTTTTCATGAAAATCATTGCTAAATCTGTTGATTCAAAAGTAATAACTTCGATTTTTTAATGTCTCATTTAAAATCAATCGATACAGTAAAAAACGTTTTCACTTTTACGACGAAAAAGTTGCGTTTCATTCCAGGTTTTTTTTCTATCTCGATGTATTAACCATAAAATCTCTCACAAAAGCTTCGCGTATCTTTCGGCTCCAGCTCGGATAATTTCTATAAAGGCATTCATAATTAATATTCCTTTTATACGCACATCAACTGGCAGAAATTCAAGGACTCCATCAACATCCTCGCAAGAATATCAACAAAAAAAAAACAGTATTATCATCGACGAAGTGAAAAAAAAAATGTAAAAGTTCAACTCTTAAGAGAAAAATGTTTTTTTTTTCTTCTTCATCTTGAAGGCGACGAATGTTGCCTTAAAGTGAAACGTAAGTTAATGGAGTTTGAGTTATGATGTAATTTGGAGGAAATTCAGTCCAAAACTAAGTCGAGGAGAAGTGAAAACATTCATTACGTTAATAAGTCAATTTATTTGGGGAATTTGTTTGTTCTCCTTCAGAAACGTTTTAGTACTTTGTATTAATTTGTTACATTTGATTACATTTTTTATTAGCAATTAATCAAATAGAAATTGTTTTGAAAATAATGCAAATAGTGAAATTAAGGTGCCCCACGTTGGTCACCAACAACGTGGGGCATCTTAATTACATTCAATTTCTGCGCTTTTAATTCCCACTTTACTGACTTATCTTATAACGAAAGTGTTAATTAATTAGTAAAATTAAGATATTTTTTCGTAGTAATGCGAATTTTCATAAAATATACTATGTTTTCTAATTTAATTACTTATTTTATTTGGTAAATTAATTGTGTAATTAATTTGTGAATGAGATTAAAGAAAAAATGGTGCCCCACGTTGGTCGACAAATTGAATAAATTCTAAAATGCGACTCTAGTTTTCGTTTTTCTTATATCCTAATAAATGTTGCTTATGATTTATCCCCGACTGTAATTTCATACTTCCTAGAGGAAAGTTTTCCACGTAACATACTCCACCCTATAAAGTATCGTAAGTAATAGACGGCGTTGAAAGCCGAGGATGCGTCTGGGGACATGAGCTTTCTTAACTCTTTTCATTTGGAAAAATCCTCGAATCATATTCAATAATGCAATAATACCACAAGAATCCAAGACAGAAACAAGAAACGTGTTGCATCCGGAAATCTTCAGTTATTCAAACTTTATATATATCAGAAAAAATTGGTTCAAGGTGAGGGTGGTTCACGGTCGCCGCCGACGAAAATAATAAAAACAGAGGAGGAACAGGTAAAGGCCTCACGAGTATTTTATTACCTCCAGCGATCTATGTTTAGTGCAAGGATAAATTGAGCCGAAGGCGAATTCGTTAAATAATTAAGCCTTCGTGCGCCTCATAACAACAGAAGCTTTTTATACCACCCCACACATTGTTTTCCATCTTTTTGTTACTGTTTGATCGAGTTAATCTTTGATCGCAATCGCTCACGACAAAGCTCAACTTTTGTTTCGTTTTTCCTTCATTTGTTTTTTTCTATTACGGACCTGCATTTTTTGTGCGCATTCCCCTTCGGCCGTCCCTGTGTTCTGCAAATTCTCTGCTTCCACTTAAAATCCCATTTGGTCGTAACGCACCTGAAAACACACACAAAAAATAAAATCAAATTAAAGTCAAAGTAATTTGTATTTTTTTATTATTAACGTCATTATTATTAGCTCAACGTAATTGTTTTTGGTGGGATTACGTGGAGATTGCGCGCTCGAAATTGCTACCGAACTTCGATACTGGATATTGTGTTAAAACTATTATTTAGTTTAGGAAATCGATGGAGCTTCAGATTGTTGCGCCACGAACGATCTGCCCAAGATTCGAACAACCCATTAAAATTTAATCGCATTGAAGAAATAATTAAACATTAAGTATCGAAAATCAATTGATTAGATCCAAAAAACGATGGGTTTTTGTGTGAGAAGAGAAAATTTGGCGCCCAACGTGGGGCTTTTGCTTTAACAAAATTGAATTGAAAATCTTAAGAAAAACTTTACTATTGTCTACCATTAATTATCACATAAATATAACAAATAATGATCTTTTTTAAAGAATTTTTATATTTGGCGCCCAACGTGGGGCATTTTTTCACTATAGTAATTATTTTGTACATTTTAATGCAAAAAACAGTATTATTCCATTATACTTCATTATTAATCATTCAATTGGACAAAAAAATGATAATAGACAAAACTTACATATTTAGTGCCCAACGTGGGGGGCGTTTATATGAAAGTTTGTTTCATGAAATACTGAAATTAAAAACTTTACTACAAAATTAATGAAAAACTATGTTATTTTTTATTTTTTACTATCTATATATAACAAAATAATATTGTAGAAATGTTTTTAAATTTGGAGCCCTACGTGGGGCTTTTTCTTTAACAAAATTGAATTGAAAATTTAAAGAAAAACTTAATGGTTTATTATTGTTTACCATTAATTATCACATAAATATAACGAATAATGTATTTTTAAAAAAAAAATTATATTTAGAATTTTTTATAATTTAAAAAAACTGTATTTTTCCATTATTAGACACTCAATTGGACAAAAAATGATAATAAACCAAACTTTGACATTTGGTGCCCAACGTGGGGCGTTTATACGAAAATTTATTTCATGAAATACTGAAATTGAAAACTTTACTACAAAATTATTGAAAAATTATGTTATTATTTATTATTTACTATCAATAATTAAATTTGGCGCCTAACGTGGGGAGTTTTTTCACTATGAACTACTTTATAATAAACACTACACGAACTACAATTTATTACACGAATTATAAATTGATATTAAATTAGACCCTAAAATTCCTTTAGAAAACTTTTCAACTTTGGCACACAACGTGGAGCATTTCTTGTTCAATATATACATAATTAATGATGTATTCATCAAAATCAATATTTTCATATAAAATTGAAATGAAATATGAAATAAAATTTCATATTCTTCCAAAAATATGTATTTACACTAGAATGTGAGCAAATTTTAAAACTTATTGAAAAATCTTAATTTCTTTGAAAATTATATTATATCTGTTATAATTGACTTCTTAATTAGTATACTTAAATAATTATGTATGATTGCAGTGCGTTTAATTAAGTTAAGTGAAAAAAAAATAGTTTGCTAAATAAGGAAGGAAAAGGGTCTAAAAATCGATTATCCACTAAATTAATTGAAGACTCTTCCATACAACCTTTTCATTTCCACTCGACCATCCATGTGATTACCTGCTGCCGCCAATTCCAAATTATACACGATCCATTTAAACCTCTTCCAATTATCACAAAATCGCTTTCAGAATAACAAACTTGCAAAGCACTTGAAAACAACGTTATTATAGGTATAAAGTAATTGTTTGTTCAGGCCAAAAACTAACATAGAATTATTATTAATTAACTGTAAAAATTTTGACTAAAGTCAATTATTTGATAATTTCAACGATATTTTTGTTAATTTATTTCATTATATATTAGCTTAAAATTACACTTTTTCTTAATAAATTTTAAATTTATATATTTAATAACTGGCGCATCCACCAAAAAAAAATCAATAAATTTTCTTTCATTTTTTTTTGAATAACACACATTTCCTTTTTAAATTAGTAATGTAGTCTGCATAATAATAATACTAAAGAAAATAAATGCTTTCACCGTGATTGCATTCACATCTGTTCGTGGTTGTGGAAATGTCCTTTTCCGAGGTCTTCCCTTGCGCAACGATTTAAGAAAGTTTCGGTTTTCCACGAAAGTACGGATTCTCTCTCTTCCTCAAGGAAACGCTAATAAATGAACACTTTACTTTCATTCCTGTTCCTTACACTAAACACAAGAAGGCGCTGTTGCATAATCAATCATTTGTTTTTATATAATTTCACATATTATAAAAGTTACTTGAATGATTGCAATTAATTTATTATTAACAATTTTACTATGTATATATAAAATTAATTTGCGTTCAAAGTAAATTACGAAATTTAATTTGATTGGGGATAAATCGATAAAACGCAACGAATTAAACCGAATTTCAAATCCTCCCTTTGATACAGAACATATTTTAATTAAACATTTCATCAATAACATCGAAAAAAAGACAACAAAAATTTCAACATCATAATTATAATTAACGTGATTTTCTCATCCATTAAATTTTCATTTTCATTTATTAATTTTATTGTACATTTCACCTTTGTTTTGTGAAAATTACAATAAATTTGATTATAATTAATATTGATTTGTTTTAATACGAAAATTACGATTTGTACGCGCAATAGTTTCCGATTTCGTTCGAAGTCAATCAAAAATTTTAGTAATTTAGTCAATTAATTTTATGAATTGCATCAAAATTAGGTTATAATTGAAATGTTATTAACGTTTTATTAGTATTAATCAAAAATTGGACAATATTTAGTAAAAAAAAGTCTCAAATATCTTCAATTTATAACTAAAATAAATAATATTAGTTTATTAGATTTTTCTTAAATTATAAGCAAAAATTAGCCATAAATTTACATGAATAATATAAATTTCTAATTTTCCATTTTTTATATCATTTATTTTGTTAATATATAAAAATTTATAAGAGTTTTAGGGAAAAAAAAACTGAAATTGAATAATCATGTAATAACTAAGATTATAGTGAATATACGCATATTTCAAATGTATTTGGGAGTAAAAAAAAGAAACGGTCTAAACAAATGGTGTGGAATTAAAATTTCATGAAGGTTGCGAGACTTAATTGTCCCATTATCGTTTCGTGGAAGCTGTTTTTGTTTTTTGTTTCTTTGTTTTTTTTTGTTTGTTTCTTGTATCGTGTATGAAATTAGTTTCTGTTCAGGTGAAGGTAGAAAATTGAATAATTCAGTGTGCCATGAATGCGGAACGCGCGTTCCGCCCCCCGCATCTCTACGATTACGTTTACTTACACACTCGACAACCCCTGCCGCGAGTATAGACCAGAAATATCGCACAAATCTACGCACACTTAAAAATTCATTGGAAAAAAAAATGAAAGAAATAACAAATGTATAGCGATTAAAAGAAGATACTTACTGCAAACAAACTGCTATTAACAAAAGAAAACAAAAGTTGCGTTTTGTTTTTTTTTGTTTGTTTTGTTTCCACACTACAACAAGTCCATTGTATTTTTCACTATATTACACGTACTTTATTTTGTTTTTTTGTTGTTGTTGTTGTTGATTTTGTTGTTGTTTTTGGAAAGTTGTCGCGTGACGGTTTCGGTCCGCGGTGTCGCGTTTCAGCTGATATTTTCAGGGAGCAACAGTTGTAGCGAAACTGGCCAGTCGTCGTATTCGGAGGCGGCGGCGTCGGCGGCGGCGGCGTCGCGACGACGGTGCTGCTGGGTAGCGTGCAAAAGGGCGTCGCGCGCGCACTCGACGCAAACACACACACACACACACAGCTAGTTAGCTAGCACACAGCAGCAGCGTTGACCCTGCCGATTGGGTCAAGGTTCAATGTTAATGTCGGCTGGTACAACTGCATTCTCCATGGCCCTAGGCCCATCCATAATTCACCTCAACGCTCCAACGTTCCCGACCGAAAACCGCACCGCACCAACCAAGACCATCATCAGGACCCATTGGTTTCTACCCAACATCGTAAACCATCGCACCACATCTAAATGTCCATTAAATTTGTAACTAAAACTTGTCATCAAATTAATGTAGAACACGACTGTCGCTTCCTTAGATCAAAAGCAACTGTCAGATCAGCATTTGTTTTTATAGAAAACAAAATAATTAGTTCCAAATTTAGTTTACAGATGGCGCACTTTAAACTATTTGACAATTGATGGATAGGAATTGCATTTGTCATTGAACTGTCAAAAAGGTGTCATCAACAGAGATAAATGATTTTTTTAATAAAATTGTAACATTCTATTTTTTTTTGTAAATTATTTTAACTGTCAAATGAATTTAAGGAAATGTCCCAATATGTTTAGGATGGCGCAATTAAAATTTGTTTTTGTTCTCGAGTGTCAACTGTTTGTCATCAAATCAGACAAAAACTATTTTTTTTTAGTAAAATTTAAATATCAAGAATGGTTAGTAACTGTCACATGAATTTTAAGCAACTTTTTTGTATATTGCAATTGTTTTTGTCCGAAAATGATTAGTTCTAAATTTAGATTACAGATGGCGTACTTTAAACTATTTGACAATTGATGGATAGGAATTTCATTTGTCATTGAACTGTCAAAAAGGTGTCATCAACAGATTGATTTTTTTTTAATAAAATTGTAACATTCTATAATTTTTTTTTGTAAATTATTTTAACTGTCAGATGAATTTAAGGAAATGTTTCAATATTGCACTAGTTTTTTCTTTTTTCAAAATAATTAGTTCTAAATTTTGATTACAGATGGCGCAGTAAATAATTAATGGTTTTGAAATTTGGTTTTGTCCTCGATTGTCAACTGCTTGTCATAAAATCAGAGAAAAACTCTAATTTTTTTAGTAAAATTTAAACATTAAGAATGCTTACTTACTGTCACATGAATTTTAAGCAACTTTTTTTTTATATTGCAATTGTTTTTGTCCAAAAATGATTAGTTCCAAATTTAGATTACAGATGGCGTACTTTAAACTATTTGACAATTGATAGATAAAAATAGCGGGAAATAATTAATTTGAAATTACGTTTGTCATTAAACTGTCAAAAACGTGTCAGCAACATCGCCAACAAAGATAGACTATTTTTTAATAAAATTATAACATTCTATTTTTTTTTGTAAATTATTTTAACTGTCAGATAAATTTAAGGAAATGTTTCAAATATTGCACTTGTTTTTCATTTTCAAAATAATTAGTTCTAAATTTTGATTACTGATGCCGCAGTAAAAAATTCATGTTGAAACAAACAGAGAAAGATTATTTTTTGTACAATTATAACATACATTTTTATATAAATTCTAATAATTTTGTAGAACAATTTTAGCAATTTTGGTTATGTTTATATAAAACAAATAGTTCTAAATTTAGATTGCAGATGGCGTATTTCGAAATAATTGTTTCTTATAAACTATCATTGTCTATTAACTTTAAATTAACTAAAAAGAAATGGTCAACTTGTATAAAGTTTACAAGATTTATTTGAAATATTTAATTTGTGTAAAATTTGGACCCAATTTACTGTGGTTTTATCTAAGTTCCTTAAGCTTTGTAATGAGTACTTAACAAAAATATAGTTTTTTATTGTACTTTTGTAGATAAATAAATCTAGTGATGAATTTCCTTACTAATTCTACACGAAAATGTTACTTCAAGAATTCTAGATTTCTGAATAAGATTAGTTAAATTAGTGAAAAAAAAAAACTAATTATGATTAGCTAACTTTTTCTCATGAGTAGTTAAGAAAATTGTGTTATTTTTTCATCTAGATATTTCTGCTTCAGATATAAATTAATTAGTGTTAATGCTACTTATCAAGGTAATAGCAACATCAAGAATGAAGCCAAATTTAGCTTTTTATATTATTTCATTCATTTTACTTTTTTTCATTTACAACCTTTTCTATATACGTGTGAATATAACTCGAGTTTATGTGGGTTTATAGTGTGTGTATTTCGTTTATCCTTCGCTTTATTACAACTGTTATCTTATCACACAGAAAAGTACAAACAGCATTCGCTTTTATCCGACGAAAATAATACTAAACCTTGAAACATTAATAACAAACATTCCGAATTGAATGAATAAATCGATCCAAATCCTTTTTACATTATTTTTTTATAACAAATTCATTACAGTTTTTAAAGAAAATTAGATAATAATTATTTAATCAACAAAAACTGAACATTTTTACTACATTTTAGATTGAAAAATATGTAAATATATAAAGAAATCAATACAATATGAAGAGAAAACGGACTAAAGAAAGACATGAAATGACATAAAATATAACAGGGAGGAAAATAATATTTAAATATCTTTGAGAAATTCCTTCAAAAAATATGTAAGGAAAAATTGATAAAATAAGGAAAGAGAAAATTTTTAATTATGTAGAATGAAATAATGTATTTCTCTTTGTGAATTTTTATTAACTTCTCTGCTCACAGCTTGTTCTTAATTTTGAAGAATTTCGCTCACTAATTGTAGAAATCGTTACTTTTGCCAACAGTTGGAAATTAGATGAAATTTAATTGTAAGTTATGTAAATGGTTTTTCTTTATGGTTCAAATTGAAGATTTTAGAAGAAAATTACATGATGAAAACACAAAACTTTTTTTTTAAATGAAAAGTTAATATAATAAATTGCAAATGGAAAGCAAACATTGATGATGTTGAAATATTCTACTTCAACATTGTTATATTCTCGATAACGGCGTTTCGATTGAAACGTTGGGACAACAGAAGAAGTAAAGTTATAAGGAAGGAGGGAAATGGAGAACCGAAAATTGAAAAGCCGACGGTGGAATAACAGGCAAATGCCCTGAAGGACGCAAGATCAAACAGAAATAAGAAAATAATGCAAAAACAAGATGAGAATTGAGCAACAAGAAAAATGAAACGTAAATTGAAAACGCGACGACCGCACGGGATTTCGTTACGGAATTCCAGCAATAAAATATGAGACGACTGGAGAGGATAAATCAACAGAAATAATATAAATAACAAGGAATTATTAATTTACGTTTTCTTTTCGCGTGGGCTCGAAAAAGTTTTAATTACATGAAGGTTTTGCATGGTGTTTTTTTGTGGATGCGCCGGGTTGTATTTTATACGTGTTATTACATTTATTTCAATCTAAATTTGCTACTGTTTCATTTAGTAAATTGTTAATTATATATTTATAGAGAAAGATATTGAACTTTTGGTTTGCAATAAAAAAAATAATGCCAGGAAAAAAAAATAAACTTTGAAAATGTCAATACTTTAAAATTTTATGCAAAATTTGATGTTTTTTCAAGTTTTCTTTTAAAATTTGCAAAAAATGACAAAAATGTATTTAAATGTATTTAATTTTCTATACATTTCTACTAAGTTTCTATATAATTTTATAAAATTGATCCAAAATTTATTTTTTTTCTAATATAAAAAATTTCGATGTTTGATGATTTTCATATAGAATTCATTTTAGATCAATTTTACTTGCAATTAAGTGTGTAAATAAGGTAATTTTGTGTAGACAGTCTGAATGGTTCAACAAGTAGAGAATTGCAATAATTAGACGAAATTAATATAGAGTTAAATTTCTGTAATTGCGAGCAAAAAAAAATGTATTTCTCTGTTGTTTTTGTTTCAATAAGTTATTAAGATGTCTGGGTTTGCTTTAAAATCGATGAAAGAAACAATAAACTAAATAAAATCCTGAAAAACACACATGGAAAGTATTCGTAACAACAAACAACAACGAAAATAAAAAAAACATACACACACATATTGTACAAAGTATATTTGTAATTACGTTTATTAATGATCGCGTGAAACACGTAACGCCTGTTATTTCATGCTTTTATCATCGTGTTATTATCATTACACACAATGTTGGCAGAGAGAACAAAAAAAACAGCAGGTTGAAGAAAAAAAGTCAATTTAAATTTTTATTGAATTTTAATAGAATTGCAATTCATTAAAAAAACAGAGTGTTATTAAAATAATTGAATGATAAATATCTTTTTTTAGATAATATTCAACGTTTATGGTATTTCTGTGTGAAAATTTTTGCAAAATGTCTTTAAAAAACTGTTTTCATTATTTGATGAAATTTCCATAAATTATCAAAAATTTATATGAAATTTCTATGGGATATTATTTATAGGATTTTTATGACAAATTTTTATAAGATTTCTTTGAAAAAATTTCTGCAAAATGTCTTGAATATTGCTAATGAATTTCAAATGTATACACGGAAAAATATTCTATAAAATTCTCATAAATTATCTAAAATTACTAAGAAAATTTCTATTCGATTTCTTTGAAATTTTTAAGGAATTTCTTTTATATTTCTTTTGTGATTTCTATGAAATTTTGATGACATAAAAATGAATGATTTGGAAAATTTTCAAATTGCTTTTTTTTTATCAATTTCATTGAGTTTTAATCGAATTTGCAGAGGACGTTGACTTCAATAACGTTCGTCCATCGCTCTTGTGCTTTTCCCTCTTGGGTATTCGATTTTGGTAACAATGAAATTGAGATTGATCGCACCGTGTAGTCCATTAATTTGATGGCAGCCTTACGAGGGAATAATTAAAATAAATTCCTTCCATTCCGGCTCCATTAACATAACGAAGTGTATTTATTAGTGCTTAAACAATACAAGACAACTCCATTCAAAAAATTACGTTTTAGTTAAGCTAATTTATT